CACCCCCAGGCTCCGCACCCCCAGGCTCAGCACCCCGAGCAGGACCACTCGCAGTAGGACCTGAGTCACTAGTCACCTCATTCGGCGCAGTCAAGGGAGGAGGGTCTACCTGAGAAACACCTGAAGGAGCAGGACCGGGAGCGGGGAGGGGGTCTACCTGGGGAGCACCTGGAGCGAGGAAGAGCGGCGGGGGGGGGAGCGAGGCAGTGCGGTAGGGGAAGAGACGGTAAAAGGGAACCGACTCGTCGAACGTGACGTCCTGAGACGCAAAGACACGGCGCGAGGTGGGGTGGTAAAACTGCCAACCAGGCGCGTCAGGGACAAAGCCAAGGAAGACACAGGGAACAGCGCGGGCGGAGAGCTTGTCCGCGGTGGTATCGCGGACAAAGGCACGAGCACCCCAGACCCGGAAACGCGACGCATCGCCAACCTTCCCCGTCCACAGCAGTGTGGGCGAGGTCTCCGGCAAGGAGACACGGGGCCAGAGGTTGAGCTGATGCGCGGCGTACCGGACCGCAAACGGCCACAGAAAATGGGGGGCAGCCGCATGGATCATAGAGGTACGAGCGACCTCCATGACTAAGCCAATGCGGCGCTCAACAACCCCATTCTGCTGCGGAGAGGCCGGAAGCGTGAACGACTGGGTGATGCCGTGCTCCGCACAGTAGGCTGCCAAGAGGTCGGAGGAGAACTCACCACCTCTGTCAGAGTGCAGACGCAGAACAGGAAAGTCCGACCGGAACCGCTCGCGGAGCTGGAGACGAACTGCGCGGATCCAGGGGATCAGAACAGCAGGGACGTCCCCCTTGCTCTGCAAGGGGAAGACCGTGGTGTAACACGTGTAGTCGTCGACGACCAGCAGGAAGTACCGCTCGCGGCCCTGTCCCTGGACACGGGCTGGGCCCCACACGTCCATGTGGAGCGTCTGCAGTGGAGCCGCTGTGGGAGGAAACAAGGAGGAGTGAGGAGCGGCGCGCTGCCGCCCCTCGACGCAAGGAATGCAGGGCGGCGCAGGCGAGGGAGGGAGGGCAGGCAGGGACCTGGGAAGACCAGAGACCAGGGAGCGAGAGTGCATGGTACGCAGGCGAGGCAAGGAGGGGTGACCAAGGCGGTGGTGCCACAGGAGAGTGTCGTGCGACAAAGCGCGACACTCGCAGGGGGCCGCCAGCTGACCAGACGCAGACGCAAACGCAGACGCAGCTACCTGAGGGGGCTCAGTGGTCAGTGTGTACAGACTCGAGCCAGGTGCACGGGTGAACGTGGCCAAGTGCCGGCCCGTCCTAGCACACGTACAGTGAGTCACTCGCTGACTCGCAGGAGTGAACTGGTGAACCCCCCCATCCTGGAGGTCAGCTCCACTCACCAAGTTCGTAGAGAACGAGGGGAGGTAAAGACCTGACAGCGAGCCGGACGGGACGGCCGGACACGGCAGAACCGTGGAATAGTGGGCAAGGACTGGACCCCCAGAGGGGTCCGCCAGGGAGACCGGGACTGGCCGACGAAGCGGCGTGAGTGTGGTGCAGTCGCGAAAGAAGGAGCGGGAAGCTCCTGAGTCAAGGGTGAAGGTGTGCGAGACCGCAGTGGGCGCAGTACCAGAGAGAGCAGACACAGCAGCACCTGAAGCCACGGCCTCACCAGTACCTAGAGCAGAAGACGTACTAGCACCGAGAGCAGCAGCCTCACCAGCACCTAGAGCAGGAGACGCACTAGCACCTAGGGCAGCAGCCTCACCAGGGTCAGGCGGTACGCACAGGCAACAGGCACGGTCAGCACTAGTAGACAATGCATACATGGCAGTGAGAATAACATCATAGTCAAGCGCAAAGATATCGACCCTCTGTCTATGCAGCTCCAGCCAGGTGGGGAGCTCAGCCTCGTCGCCAAACACTGTGCGCCAGTCGTCGCTCAGACGGGCGAAGCAGCGGGACTGTGTGTGACCAAGCGTCCCACAAGGCTGACCAGTCCTAGCACCTGTGCGAATGACGTACGGGCAGCGGACTGTACGCGTAGACCTGCTACACTGAGCGTACCACTCCTGGAGCTGCCGGGGCGTAAGTGTCTCACGTGGACGCCCCTGCAGCTGCAGCTGGCCACTGCCAGACGCTCCCAACTGACCAGCTCCAGGGCGACAGCTACGACGGCTACCGCGACAACCCCAGCTAGTATACCACTCACTAAGCTGCTGGGGCGTCAGAGGCTCGCGTGAATGTCGCTGGAGCTGCATCTGGCCTCCTGCCAGTAGCAGTAGTGCAGGCAAGGCAGGCGCGGCAGGCAGGCAAGCAAGCAGGCAGGCAGGCAGGCAGGCCGGCAGGCAGGCAGGCAGCCAGGCCGGCAGGCAGGCAAGCAGACAGGCAGGCCGGCAGGCAGGCAGGCAGGCAGGTAGGCAGGCAGGCAGGCAGGCAGGCAGGCAAGTAGACACGCAGGCAGGCAGGCAGGCAAGCAGGCAGGCCGGCAGGCAGGCAGGCAGCCAGGCCGGCAGGCAGGCAGGCAGACAGGCAGGCCGTCAGGCAGGCAGGCAGGCGCTCACCAAAGGCTGGGAGAGCAGGGCCGGCGCTCGAGTAGGCGCACGACAGCGGCGACGTCGGGGCCGCAAAACCGGCTGCAGAGCAGGGCCGAAACAGCTGTAGAGCGGGGCTGCGTCAGCGGCAGTAGCAGGGTGGGGCCGCGTCAGCGGCAGGTCGGGGCCGTGGCAGCTGCAGGGCGGGGCCGCATCAGCGGCAGGTCGGGGCCATGGCAGCTGCTGGGCGGGGCCGCATCAGCGGCAGGTCGGGGCCGAGGCAAAGGGCCGCGCGCGGCCGCGCTAGGGAGTAGCGGGCCGCGCGCGGCTCGGCGCGGGCTGTTGCGGGCCGCGCGCGGGCCGTGCGAGGCAGGAGCAGGCCTCGCGCGGCTCGGCACGAGCTGCTGCGGGCCGCGCGCGGGCCTCGCGAGGCCGTAGCAGGCCGCGCGCGGCTCGACGCGGGCTGCGCGCGGCAGCTGCGAGCTGCGCGCGGCTCGGTGCGGGCTGCGCGCGGTTGCAGCGGGCTGTGCGCGGCTCGGTGCAGGCTGCGCGCGGCTGCAGCGGGCTGCGCGCGGCTCGGTGCGGGCTGTGCGTAGCTGCAGCGGGCTGCGCGCGACTCGGTGCGGGCTGCGCGGTCTCGGTAGCAGCGTGTGTGCGGGCGTGTAGAGGCGTGTAGGGGCGGCGCGCGGGCCTTACGGGCCTCTAGGGGCAGCGCGCAGGCAAGGCAAGGCAAGGCAAGGCATACAAGGCAAGGCAAGGCTACGTGGGGTAGCGCGGTAACCGCAGCGGTAGGTGGGCCCGAAAAAAAACGGTCCTACGGACCTTAGTGCTCTGAAACCATGTTAGAATCTAGCAGCAGGAATGAATGAACTAGCAGCATGCAGGAGTACAAGTAGTTAACCCTAATTGGGCTGTACCCCATATGGGCTACCCCACTACAGCCTAGACAAGTCCAGCATATATGTTTGACAATTAGTATCTAGGCTATATTGGGGCTAGCCTTAGAGGGTACAGAAACATTCTCGACACTCTAGTCTTGTACCCCAACCTTGACCTAATCTCACACAACTTCATGCCTAAGATTCTAAGACCACTTTCGTTCAGACGGAGCACGCGTGAGCAAGACCATCTTGGACATCTTGATGATCACGCAGTCAAGCAACGCTCCAACGAGCTTTTACACGTCGAGCACACCGATTTCGTCAACACCCGCCAAAAGGAGACAAGACGTGAGCACATTTTTTATTGTGATTTCCTACATTTACTCATCATAATAGTAGTTTGATTAACGTTACAAACTTTCTTCTTATATTTGAAAATTGCTCTTCTTTTTTGCGCAGCGATGGTGAAGCTGTGAGCGATTTGAAACAGCGGAGAAGATGCTCACAGTGGTTATAATGCTCATTTCGATGGGTTAATTCTTATACTTTTGGATAAGTTATGAAAACGAGTACAGACTTACGCGAGCGTGAGAACAATGAGTGTGAGAGACATGAAAGATATTAATAAGTGACTGTCTCTTTAATTTGAAGAGTTATGCATTGTGTTGTGTGCGTATGTCATTTCATTCATGTTTCCATTGCATTAATAACGCATGTCTGTGAGGTTTAACAATTGGGATCAAACTATCATTTCCGAGAAGGTTCTTTGCGCACTCAGTGAGTGTGTCCATTTGAACTGGATTTGATGGAATTGACCTTTTTTTTTTAATCTCACAGATTGTGTTATTTCATGTGACTGTTGGATGATTCATACGCTAAGCTATTGACTTCCCCCCCATGCTAGGCAGGGGATGCGGTAGCTTAGTGTATGAATCAACTAACTATCACGCATTTCAATCATCTTACATATTCACAACATTGGTACAATACATATATGCATATACTACTCATACAACTATAGCATATACATCATATTTATGCATTATCAACTATATTTATTCATTTTTGTTTTATACATCATATTTATGCTCGACAGAATATTACAGCGTATGCATTACAGAATATACAGTTGCATGTTTGGAGTAACATCAAATAGAAACATAATTCATGCACACGAAGAGCCTGGCCAACAAAATATTTGGAAGAAATATATTAGTTTCATACCGCGTGGTGGGCTCGAATGGCATTTTCTTGGGTCATTTTCTGTGTTATTAAATAGAGTACGAATACGGAAAAAATATTGTACATAACGATCATAATAGGATGCTTCGCAACCCAAAAAAAACACCTTACGTTAAGCACCGCCTTCATTTTTCCTTGACCCCTAGTTTTGGAAGTTAAGAGGATATTATACGGTACATGTACATAGGTAAGCAGCTTGAGTCGTCTTCCAGGCCCAACCCCTGGATCGGAACTTCGCCCATTGCGGCTTACCAGGGAAGCTTGAGCGGCTAGGGCCACGCCTGGCTTGACGGGCCAGCCAGGACCCAGCCAGTCTCTGGCCGACATGTCAAAAGGTGTCAGCCCAGCCAGCCTCATCCCGGCCCCTGCCCAGTCTCTGCTCATGTCGAGCTTTCAGGGATGCATGTGCCAGCAGCCGTGCCTACTGTGTACCCTTCGTAGCAGGCACACTGCAGACCAATCTTTTCGTTATCTAAGTAGCAAACACCATGGCCGCTGCAATAACGGGTGCCCTCATAGCTCCCACAGAGGGACTCGCACTCGTATTTGCTCCTCTGCATCTGGAAGCGGCCACACAGGATCGTGCTGTTGCTGAGGCAGTTGGTTTCCAGAGAGAGGCGGAACTTGTCGCACAGCAGGTGGATGTCAGCAAGAGGGGTGCCTGTAATGCCTGTGAGGAAGTTGCGGCCCGCACCCAAGTGCCACAGAGAATTCATGAGGCGCAGCGACGGCAGATTCCCCACCAGCTCGTTATCGCTTAGATCGCTGAGGGAATGGGGATGGGGAGGAGAGGCGCAGGAGTGACTGTGGGATTCGATAACAATAGCAGCTGACTGATAAGTGGTGGCTATACGAGGAAAATGAGACGACTGGTGCAGCGAATGAAACAAGTGAGATATGGAGGGGGCGAGGCAGTGAGTGTGGGGATGATGGCGAGGGTGCACTGACAGGAAGCCAAGACCACTGAGTGTGCTAAGTGCAGCAGGTATTGTCCCAATAAGGCGGTTGTGAGATAAATCCCTGCAGGTGGGCAGAGGAACAGAACAAAAATTCACAGACCAAGCATGCCTTGGCGCAGCAAGTTCCAATCGGGAGTGTTCTAACACAGCACATGCGAAGCATGCACACGGCCAAGCCTTCACACTGGTACACAAAGAGGGGCATATGCATGTGGTGGTGGAAATTGAAGTGAGGCAAGGCGAGCTCTGTGCATGCATGGCAATGTTGGACACATTGTTGAGTCTTTGCACTGACAGGGAATGGAGATTGCTGAGTGCACTGAGTGCGTCAGGAATGGTCCTTGCAAGGCGGTTGTCAGACAGATCCCTGCAGGTGGGCGAGAGAACAGAATGTTCAATAGAGCTCACCTATTGTGCTTTGGAAAGAACATGCTACCAGTAGTGTTCTTGTGGAAACATGCCATCCACGAGAGACCCTCACAACCAAACACTAACTCATAAAGAGCGCGCGCTTTTCCCAAATCCCTGGATCTCCACTTCCAGCCATCTCACCCCTCTCCCTCTTGTTGCAATTAAAATAAACCAGAACCCTATACCCTAACCCCGTCCCCAAACCCTAACTAATCCCGCGGGCAGAGAGAGGTTAGGGGCGAGTGAGCGCACATGAAAGTGAGCCGGCTGAGCCTGCCCAAGGAGGTAGGGATCCTTCCCCCCAGCCTGTTGCGCTTCACATTCCTGCCACGCCCACCATGGGATGAAAGAGTCTTCCTTGATTCACACATTGACGGATTTGAATTCTTGATTCTATGTTTCTTACTCCCAAACGAGGAGCAAAAGCTGGTGAGGATGAATGCACAACCTGGTCTCGCATCGACCGAAAGATGCAAATGCAACTGCAAATGCAAATGCAAATGCGGGCTAGCAATGCTTCATAGCAGCATACCAGAGTGCCTTGCCCTTACAGGCTGCTCAGGTTGGTGAGGCGCCCGAGAAAAGAGGGAACGGGCCCCGAAAGCCGATTGTAACTGAGGTCACTGGAATGGCACATAGCACGGAGTGGTACAGTAGGCACACAATTGAAACGGTGTGGTAGTGAGGTAAACAGAGCGTGAAATGGTGTTGTCTAATGCACATGTCGGTGGAAAAGAAGGGTGGAGGGGCAGGAGACGGAGGGTGGGCCGATGAGCACAAGGGTGATAAGAACACACGCAAAGTGGCCTTGGCATGCCATGGCATGGACATATGCTCTTGAAATCAAGCACTCAAGAGTTCCTGGCCCGAGTCCCATGTTCAGCGGACATGGAAGGTGGTTGCAGTTTAAAATGGTTGCAGTAGGGAAAAGAAGCTACGACACAACCCAGTTCAACGACAAACAAGACAGGACAGGAGCTAATCCCTTAAGATGCCGAAAAGACTTCCTTAGTCATGGAGAAAGGAAAGGGCTGGGCCTGGCTTGGTAGGAGGCAAGGGTGGGCGCACACAGGAGCGGGGGCAACGAGCAGTCTGCCAGCTCAACCATCTGCTCGCGCCCACCCATTTCCATTCCCACTCCCACTCCCATTCCCACTCCCACTTGACGAGCAACACCCGTGGACCACTGGCTTGCATGCCGACACAGCCCTTCACTCCTGTTTGTGGTAACCAGGGAAACACATGACTCGTCCAAGCCCCTTGCACCTTGTCTCCACCTCCTACCCTCGGACCCTCACAGTCCTCGACGTAATTTCCATGAGACACTTGGGGAGAGAGTGGGCGTACAGAAAAGAGAGGCGGCTGAGGAGCGAAAAGGAGGCAGGGATGCTGAAAGTCAGCTGGCTCCTCTCCAAGTCCCTGCAGTCAGATTGCATGGAATGGCATGGGATGGCATCGCATGGCATGCGATGGAGTGCGATGGGTTGGGATGGCATGGGATGGATTGGGATGGCATGGGATGGGTTGGGATGGTCAGGGACGGGTTTGGGGGATGGGATGCAACGGGTGGGATGACAGATTGGTTGGTTTCACAATGTCGCATTTCATGCCATGTGCATGTTCTGGTTTCATGAATGGTTAAACTCTGCACGGAACAAAATCCGATTATGCAATGGCCTTCTCAGTGAGGTGCGGTGCACTGCATGTCATAGCACTCCTGCACGCCGTGCTCGGAATGTGTGCGTAGGCTACAGATACACATTCTCCGTGACAAAGATTTTTTCCTTGGCAGTGCCGGGGAACAATGGTAAGTGATGAGCAATTTCTTCATGGCAATGGAATGGAACTGAACAACAGCTGCACCTGCGAGCTAACCCACCCTCCTACCATTTTGAGTGCCACCCTTCCTTACAAGCTTTCCAGGTTAATTAGACTCCCGAATGTTCTGGGGATGGTCCCAACGAACTGATTTCCACCAAGACGCCTGCAATAGCACATGGTGGTGTGGCATAGAGCGATGCATTACATCATTGGCCAGTCGGGAGAGAGCATTGTGATGCATGGTGGTGTGGACGATGTGAGGGAGAGCAGGAGAGGGAATACAAGTCAGCAGCAGGAGTGTGAAACAGCATGGGGGGATATGTAAAGAAGCAGCGGATACAGAGGATGAGGGCAGAGAGAAGGGAACATGGGAGCAGGAAGCGAAGAAGGATCAGGTGCATGTATGGATGAAGTTCAGAGGCTGAGCGGGAGGGGAGGCGGGAGGAAGAGATGTTCTTTCAAGGCACGTGGACAATGGCAACGCAGAGGCACCAGTGACACAGGTGATGCAGGCACATGATATTGCATGCACTTACACACTTCTCTCCCTCCCCCACCATGCCACTACTCTGCCCACCCCACCATGCCAAAATCATGCCCCCACCATGCCCCACCATGCCCCACCATGATCCGATAGAGCATGCATGGCCCACACCACATGTGTCGAGGCACACTCACAGGTGGGCGAGGTTGCTGAGGTTGCCGATGGCTGCTGGGATGCTGCTGTTGATGCCACTGCGGTGAAAGTTCCTGATGCATGGTGCATGGTGCATGCATGGCGCACAGGCATGGCATGCAGAGACGTGCAGACACCGCCGTGGTGGGGATGACGTGCGGGTTGTCAGATGAGGGCAAGAAGTCCGTGATACAAGGCACACTCCATGAGGGCTAAAACAAGTCATGGTATGGCACATGGTGCATAGTGCGTGGCACGTCGTGTATGGTGCATGGTGCACGATAACTGAGCACTACGCCATGGCATGGCCGGGCACACGTTACAGGGCAGGGCAGCACGCACAGGACTGTCAGGCTTGTCATGGCGCCTATCCACTCGGGCAGCTGCCCGTCCCACCGCGAATACGACATGTGCCTGGCAGCGCGTTGGGCAAGGGCAGGGGCATGGAGAGAGGGGTGGCGCAAGAGACGGAGTGGGGCTCGTTACTATGGGAATATGGGAAACCCTGCAACCAACAACACGGACCGGCACTTGAGACCAGTGGCACCCAGAGAGCGCCACACCCATTGTATATTACGTGAGCATTCAGCGATTAGACGAGATAGAAACAATCACGTAACAATCACACAAGCGCAGCACAGGCATATGGAATCCCAAACGGGAAGTGTGGAGTGGAGTGTGCAGTGCATGCTCTCTCACCACTCGGTGAGCTTCTTGAGCCGTGACAGCTCCGACGGTAGGGAGTCAGTCATGCGCGTGTACTCCAGCATCCTGCACGCACAGCACACCCCGTGCCGTGGGGCCCAGATGGCCTTAGAGCGCGTAGCGTAGAGTGCTAGGGTCATGGAGATGTTCCATACAGGGGTTCAGGTGCGTAAATGGCAGCAACAGGAGATTCGAGGCAAGAAGAAACCAAAGTGAGTGATAGACCAGGTGGGCTTAAGTTGTAGCCGGGTAGGCGAGGGTGTAGGCGCATAGGGAGGATGATTGGAGTATGATGAAAATCTGAAGGGGGACATGGAAGAAGTGGTCTGCGGGACAACACACCAAGTACTGCATGTGATGGATGTGCACGGCCAGTCAATCATCCATCCTCGCTCCGCATGCCTCGCCATCGCTCATTTTCGCACTGTGCGATTCCAATTCCAACTTACAGCACTTCAAGGTTGGTGAGGTCGCCCAGACACACAGGAACGGGCTGCTTCCATTCATTTGCCCCCATCGATCTGATGCGCACACAAATGGCATGGCCGCACAGGGAAAGGTCGGGAGTGGGACGGGTGGCCGTGGAATCAGAAAGATCGCGTTGGAAAGAAGCAAGGATGATTGCGAGAGGAAAAAACGGTGCAGGGCGGTGAAGTTTCCAGCAAAATAAACTTGTGCAGAAGTGACAACAGGAGAATTTCCTTGGTGAGTGTTGAAGAGCAGGGGGAGCAGGCGAGGGCAGGGCACGCACAGGTGCTTGAGGGCAGTGAAGGCGGTGAGGGTAGAGGGGAGTGCTTCGAGGTAATTCATGTACACGTTCCTGCAGGGACGTGAGCACACACCGCAAGGGAGGGAAGGTGGCATGTGAGGGAGAGGGCATGGATCGGTTTGGCAAGGAGGATCAACGCAGGCAAGGGCCAGGCATGAGTCATGAGAGAGCCCGGTGCCCACCAGCACAGGCGGCAGAAAGGCCCACGGAGATGCCAGCACGGGTGCCACGGCGGATGCGCAACTGCGCATCTCATCAGAATCAATCCTCCCCATCGCATCCCCATGGACGTACGTACGTCTGCAGTCCACACAGCGTCACATTCCCATGGCCTAGCCCATTGATTGCTTGCCTCCACTCCACACAGCGGGTGCCTGGCCTGGCCTCCCATGCGTCAGTGCAGTGCCGCCAGCCCCTCCTACAGGCGGGACCACTGTCCTGCTGCCACACCATTCCAGCCCTACCACCCCAGCCCACTGGCCCACTAGCCCTTCTTACCCTCCCTTGCTTACTTCCCTACCCCACCCGCACATTGCACCCACCCCATCCATCCATCCATCCATCCATCCATCCATCCATCCATCCATCCATCCATCCATCCATCCATCCATCCATCCATCCATCCATCCATCCATCCATCCATCCATCCATCCATCCATCCATCCATCCATCCATCCATCCATCCATCCATCCATCCATCCATCCATCCATCCATCCATCCATCCATCCATCCATCCATCCATCCATCCATCCATCCATCCATCCATCCATCCATCCATCCATCCAACTGCCCGCCCGCCCTTCCACCCACCCACCCACCGACCCCACCCAGGCGCACAATGGGGTGGTCCAGGCGTGGGCGTGTGGGGCACTCACAGAGCAGTGAGGTCGTTGAGGGTGCCCAGTGTGGCTGGCACCCTCCCTGACAGCATGTTGTAGCTCAGATCGCTGGTGCTCCCACAGGGTTTGGGGTTTAGGGTGGGACCGCAGGGTGGGTGACAATATGGGTGGAGATATGGGTGCAAGGCATGGCATGTATGCACACGAAATGGGCTATCTATTGTGATAGGCAAGGTGCACATGTGGGTGCACGAGGGACAATGCCACATGGGAGGAGTTGATTGAAAGAGAGTAAGCGCGCATGGTCAAGAAGTGACAAGCGCGGCGGTGAGTGGTTGATTGCTTGCAGACACACGATGCAGGACCAAGGCAGCGAGCTTCTCTCCTCCAAACCGACTCAGGGGTGGGGGAGGAGGGAGACGCAGAAGAAAGAAGGGCAGAGAGAGAACGGGGTGTGGGGAGAGGGAGACATGGAGAGGACAAAGAGGTGGGAAGAAAGAGAGGGGGGAAGAGAGCTCACAGGTGCCTGAGCGAGGTGATTCGGGAAATGGCATCTGGAAAGGCGCCGCTGAACATGTTGGTACTCAGGTTGCTGCTCACAGACACATGGATTGGGCAATGCACGGTGCAGTGCAGGTGTGCGGCACATGAGAAGCAATGAAACAAGCTAGACACTTTTGAATGAATTAGGCTCCATGGCAAGCATGGTATGGCATATCATGGTGTGTGAGTAGGAGAGCAAGGGCAAGAGTGAAAGTTGACGAGGAAATGGCTGGAGCGAGGATGGTCGGGGTGAGGCGGATGGCAGGGAGGAAGTGCGATGCGAGGGAGGGAGGGCAAAGAGGCTGGGTGACTGACTGGCGCTGAGGCACGGCAAAGGGGGCTTGTGCGGGGGGGCAGGGCGCACGTGGTGAGGTGACTGACATGGTTTCCAGCGCACTTGAATTGGTCTGGTTGAAGTACCACCACAATGGCCCTTGCAGGAAGCACGCTGACAGGTTCCTGCTCACATGCACCGCACATCACACACACATTCAAACACACATGCCCACATCCCAGCACCCCAGCATTGGCGAAACTCCATGGCGGCAACATTCCATGGCGGTCACATCATATCATATCCATGCAGGTGCGTCCATGGCCAGCGCTCCAAGCACACGAAGCAAGCAAGCACAGGGGTGTGTGACGGCGTGAGGAGAAAGCGGTTGGAGCCGCACTGCTGGAGAGGAGAATGCAGCATGGGCGCAGCATGCACGGCGAGCAGGGATGGCTCACAGGCGCTTGAGGTTGGGCATGGAGAGGATGGCGGGTGGAAAGCTGCCGCCCACCTGGCTCTGTGTGATGCTCCTGCACACACACGGGGGTGGCGCAGAGAAGGGGAAAAGAGAGGTGAGGAACGAGCGTGTGGTGCATGCATGCATGGAGGGATGGATGGATGGATGGATGGATGATGGATGGATGGATGGATGGATGGATGGATGGATGGATGGATAGATGGATGGATGGATGGATGGATGGATGGATGGATGGATGGATGGATGGATGGATGGATGGATGGATGGATGGATGGATGGATGGATGGATGGATGGATGGATGGATGGATGGATGGATGGATGGATGGATGGATGGATGGATGGATGGATGGATGGATGGATGGATGGATGGATGGATGGATGGATTGGTGTGAGAGCAACCGACTAAACTGGGTATTAAACGCAAGACAATACTGAATGCTAACCGCTTCGCACAGCAGCACCACATTTCCATCCAGCACTGCACGGCATATCACACCCCGCCGTACCATGCATACCCATGCAGGGCACGCAAAGACCAAGGCAGTGCCACTCACAGCGACGTCAAGTGGTTGAGCTGCACTATGCGCGCGGGAATGGTGCTCACGCCCTGCACGTCACTGCCACGGGCGGGGCACGCACGGGATGGGAGCAACAGGTGAGGGGTTGGCAGTGGGGGAGTGAGCGCAGGCGAGGTGCGGGTGTGCTAGGCAGTGCGGGGCTGGGGTGTACGGTGTACCAAGCATGGCACGGCACATCCGCGCTCTGCTGCTGCGCCGTGTGCTACTTGTTGACATGGCAAGCCCGCTGCAGATGCCATGGCGGCAGATGCCATGGCGGGAGATGCCATGGCGGCAGATGCCATGGCGGGAGATGCCATGGCGGCAGATGCCATGGCGGCAGATGCCATGGCGGCAGATGCCATGGCGGGAGATGGCGTGCAGGCATGCATGCAGTGCTGCGCTCACATGGCGACGGCGTGCCCCTGTGCGTCGCAGCGCAGGCCCGCCATGGTGTCGCAGTCCCTGCCGGGGATCCACGACTTGCACGCGGTGGTCCTGTTCCACGCCACCGCCAGCTCCGCCACCACGCCCACTGCCATGCACCATGCCCTCGCATACCCGTTACCACACCGTGCCATGCCACGCCGGACCACGCCATGCCATGCCGGACCACGCCATGCCATGCCGTACCATGCCATGCCCATGCCACATATTCCGCCGTCGCGTGAGGAACAATCAGTGAGCGAATCGAAGTCGGAGGCAAGTTGCAATGGGACAGGTGCACGGAATAGCACGGATGGGCCACGAAGCACGGCCGTCCACATCACACCAGCAATGACACAGGTGCATGCTCCTCACGCCTTGCTGCCCCCACGACTTACTGTCGGGGTCCACCACGGGCACAGCGCGTGCGAGGGGCGCGCAGCAGCTAGCCACCACCAGCGCCAACACCGCCGCCCTCGCCGCCACGACGCCCCTCCCTATCGCCCATAAGCGCGTCGCGTGCGCCGTGCGCGAGCCGTGCACAGTGGGAGACCGCCGCGTTGCGCGGCCTCCCCCAACGAGACGTTATTTCCATCTATTCGGTTCGTGGAAGTTCGAGGCCCTACGAGATCGAAAACTGGTGCTTCCAAGCGAGCGCGTGACCGCGGCAGCACACAACACGAGAAGCTCGGTGTGAGTCGATTCGCATACATACAACGGAAGGATACCTCGCCCCGTCGTTCCTACTTGTACACCCATCGTGACTTGCGCCTGGCAGGTCTCCATAAGGTGGCTGTCTAGGGGGGACGAGTCACGACGAGAACTCGCTTGGCTGGGAAAGGTTATTCACCGTGCCTCGCTGGCTAGTCGTTGGGGTTGCGTGCCAGCGCAGCGATAGAGCGTGAGCTCGCGGCGGTCTGCTATGACCAGGTAATCCCTCCCTCCCTAAACCTAGATTTCTGCTACCGTATGGACCTGGTTTGACTTGCTGGTTGGTGAGAGCTGTACTGTAACAAACCAGCCCCCCACGCAAAAGTAGGGAATTCTCGCCAGCCAACCACAACGGAACAGCAGTGCACGGCTGAACGATGTCTCGCTGTTGCAACTGCTCCCCAAACGTGACTGCAGGATCACGCAAATTGTTACAAGCCTATTCTCACTTCTAACAAATACATATAAGAGCATATATTAATTATAGCAATACATCTCTGTCAATTTGTTGGAATAACCGAAAGGTTAAATAAGCATTCCCGAAACTGTTCCATTGTACCAGTACCGCAATAGCTCATATAGAGCATGCGGAATGTCGAGGGTCACCCGAAGGTCAACCGTCGAGGGTAGTCAACGGTCGTGACCCTTGACCGTCTAGTAACCGCGCGACAGTTGTTCGCTGCAACATGGTAACTGTCGAGAATGGCAATAGTCGCGGTTATTGTAGCTATGTAATACAGTTAATAAGGGAATGTACCCCTCAGAGTACATGGCTAGTTAGTTTGCTATTTAATCCCTTGTACTCCTATCTTTTAATCATCTTGTTCCTTTTCAACTATTATTCAACAAGGTCACTACAGAGACTTCATTGTCTCCTCTCAGACTTAACAGATCTTATCCTATCTACTTGATTCGCCTTTCGTTATATCAGCATGGTATGAGAGCTAGAGTGGATTATAAGATCTGCCAAGTCCTCGTTCTTCCTAAAACAATCTTGTTATAAAGTTATTCAATACATTTTGAAGTCAGTAAACTGTGGCCCCTGAAGAGAAAGCTACTGCAGACTCACCGGGCCCACCACCAGCAACGACTAACGCGCCATCAGCGGTGACCTCCGTCAGCGCCGCTGTCGTTGAGCAGCTAGTCGCACGCATCAACGCCCTTGAAAGCCATCAAGCAATGAGCGTTGATGGCTCAAGCTATGCACGTGGCGTTGCTGGACTTCCTCTCCCTGGAGAAGACCGCCGCGTCAACTCCGAGAGATCTTTCACCTTTGACAATCGTCAAGGGTCAGCTCCTGCACAAGACAACCCACAACGAGCACAGTCAGACATCGCCACCATGCAAACCAAGTTTGTATTGACTTCAAAATTGAAGACCTCAATTCCCTTTGACGGAAAGGATTTCAACACGTGGAGTTTCGAATTCGAGCTTCTCGCGACAACCGCTCAGATCTGGATGTACTACGACGGAAGCCTACCTTTTCCTTCGGAAGGCACCATCCAGGAGAAGCATCAATACTACCACGAATCCCTCTTGCGTACACCGCTCTCCTTCGCAATCTCTCACCTGAAGAGCAGCTCGGCATTCGACCCTATAAGACGGAGTGAGCTACCGCGCACGCGTCCTGGGAACACCTGCGCAACTCATACATGGCAACAGATCCGGTTACGATGGATCGTCTACTCAGCCAGTTGACTTCAGTTAAAATGAAGCAAGGGGAGAAAGCGGGACCGTATGTCAACCGGTGCCGCAATCTGCGCGATCAAGTCAAGAAGTGCGGTGGGACTGTTCCCGACAACATGTTCATCTCGATGGTCATCTCTGGCCTCGGCCCCGACTGGCGGCAGTGTCAGTCAATTCTTCGCGCCCGAGCAACCATATCGGAGTCGGCTCTGTGCGCCACACTCCTTTCGGAGCAGAAGGAGATCGACCTGTACAACGAGAAGAATGTCAAGCGGGAAAAATTAGCCTTCTACACAGGAGCATCACAAGGGGAGCAACACGGAAAGAAAGGAGCTTTTGCAAATACTGCAAGAAGTCTGGCCACACTATCGACCAGTGCTACAAGCGTCAGGCTGCTGACGAGCGGCGCAATGCCTTCAGTCAGCAACCCTCGGCACAGAGAAAACCTGCTGCCTCCACCTCCACTGTGTCGCCTCCCTCGGTCGCCAGCAATTCTCAATCTCCTGCGCTCATCACGGCAAAAGAAAAAGGGAAAGGGACAATCATGAGCTGCATGGCTCGCCGCAACATAGAGTTCCGTTACTGGGATCGAGTAACATTCGCGTTTAACAATCCCATCAAGCCTGTTGCGCCGAGTCGAGACAACGACCCAACAGTCTTTACCTGGTCCAATCGTCCCTCAGACATTCCTCCTGACTTCGAGCTCCCTCCGCCTACACCGGAATCGCCGCCGAGCATCTCCGCAAACAGATACTTCGCCCTCTCACCGTACACCGGCGACTTCGATCGCATCGTCATGCCCAAGATCGCCAACATTGCCCGCCAACGCCAAGAGGACCTCAACACCTGGTACATCGACAGTTGCTGCAAGCAACACATGGTGGGATCTTCCACCTTCATCGGTAACTCACGGCGCATGCGACGACCCTGCGAAATCACCGTTGCCAACAACGGGAAGATGAAGGCATATGATATTGGCGAGATCTACCTCGAAGCCAATGACACGAGCTTCACTATTCACATCGGAGACGTCCTCGTCGCACCTGAACTGCAATACAATCTGCTGTCCTCAGCTCAGCTCATGCGGTGCGGAGTTGACATTCGCAGCAATCGCAAGTCAGGATCTGCAACACAACCAACCGGGGAAAACAAGGCGGCGGAGATAAGCTGGACGGGCTGGAACACTTCCGAGCCCGTGCTCGGGCCCTGGGGAGAAGTTCTAACTCCAGAAGAAGCAGCCACAAGCGGGTGGGGCGCCGTTTCAACGGGAGAAGTTGGCGCAACCGGCTGGGGAACTCCCCCCGCCCCAGCAGGAGAAGCAGAGACAGCTGGGGACACATGGAGCGCCGGCGGAGGATAGGGAACCTCGACTGAAGCGGAGCAAGGGCACACCGAAGCAGCTGGATTTCCTCCTGCGGAAGTCGCCGCCATCGATCCATACTGGGCGACTTGCGGCACCAGCTGGGGAGGTCCCCCTCTCCCAGATCAGTACGCTCCTGCCACACCCGAGCCAATGCTAGAGGAGTCAGAAGAAGAGGAGACCTACGAATTCATGGGAGAACCAGCAGAATTACCTGAACCCACCGAGGAGCCGCAGCCGCCAGAACAAGGACCACAAGAAATTGAGGTTATTGGCGCCGAATACAGCTACTTCAGAATCCCCATGACGGGACTCCCAGTTCGGGATTGGCCCAAACAGTGCCTGCTCGTTATCGGAGACCAAGTCGAAGCCGGAGACACCGACGACATCATCGGTATTCCCAACGCGCTTCTGGAGCGAAAGGCAATTCACGCGCTCGCCGCCGATACCGACAACGCCGCCGATGCAGGACCTGAAGGGGAGGCAAACGACGAAGCAGCTTGCCAAAAATATTATCAGAAAACAGTCGGCTACCGTGCGGACCCAGCAACATGGCACCAACGGCTTGGACATCCCTCTCACGCCACGCTCAAAATTTCGCTCAAGGCCGGAGTCTTCGACAACGAAGCGCTCCTCCTTCCACGAAACGGTTCCCTCACCGCGGACTCACCTAGCCCGCCGTGCATCGTTTGCCCAACCGCATCGCTCAACCACCAGCCATTTCCCGACTTGCCCCCGGGGTACGAACACTACAAGCCGCTGGACACGGTTTACAACGACTTTATGGTGCTCAGCCAGGAAGGGCTCGACAGTGAACAGTACACACTCACCTTCATCAACGCATCTACCTGTTACGTTTGGGCTGTCAACACCGACTGCAGGTCGCTGGCCTTCGAGTGCTTCATTGCATGGATGAAGCGAGCTGAGCGTCAGTCTAGATTAAAACTCAAAGCCTGGCAGACGGAGCCCTGGAGTTCTTCTCAGACGAGTTCAAGGAGCTCTTCAAGCAGAAGGGGATCGAGCACCTGGTGTTCCTGCCCTACGCTCACGAACAACAAGGTGTAGCAGAACGGACAAACAGAAGCCTCGCCACGCGGATGAGGGCTCTGATGAAGCAGTCGGCCATCCCAACCAAATATTGGCCGTTTGCGATGAATCACGCTGTTCGGCTGCGAAGCCTCGAGAACAACTCTCACCCTACCGGGCATG